GTTCTACTACTAACACTCCTAATACTACTCCCACTGCCACTAGAACTGTTGCGACGACTGGTACTGATATTACTACTACTACGACTACTGCTACTACTACTACTACTACTACTACCACGATGACTACTACTACTACTACTACTACTACTGCGAATAAAACTTGTACTATTATTACGATGGCTACTACTACGACTATTATCATTATTATTGGTACGGCTACTGCTACTACTGCTACTACTACTAGTACTAGTATCCGTATTACGATCACTATGATTACAAGTACTACCACTACTATTACGAATGCTAGTAGTAGTACACCCACTACTGCCAGGTCTAGTACTACTACTACTACTACTACAATTTCTTGGGCTACTACTACTTCTACTACTACTACTACTACTACTACTACTACTACTACTACTACTACTACTACTACTACTACTACTACGGCTACTACTACTACTACTACTACTACTACTACTGCTGCCACTACTACTACTACCACTACTACTACTACTACTTCTATTACTACTACTACTAGTACTACTACTACTACTACTACTACTACTACTACTACTACTACTACTACTACGACTACTACTACTACGACTGCTACACCTTCATTAGTATGACGAGTACCACAACTCATACCCAGGCTACAGATACCTTAGGGATTCTTAAGGGTTCCATGAGGATTCTTAGGGATCCCCTTCGGAATTTTTGAAGGAATCCCAAATGTTACCGTAAGGGGTGTTAAGCAGTCCCCAAGCATACCTAGGGGATCTTGAGGATTCCATAAGGATACTGGTTCTTCAGGATTCCCTAAGGATGCCGTGAGGATTCTTAAAGATTCACTCGGGAATCTAAGGGATTCCCTGAGGATCCCCAAAGGATTCCTCAGGGATGCTTAAGGCTTCCCAGAGGATTCCCTACGGATTCTTTTTTGGATTCCCTGGAGGATTCTGAAGGATTCCTTAAGGATTCCTAAGGGACTCTTAAGGATTCCTTGGGTTCCCGAAGGATTCCTTGAGGTTGCCCTATGGATTCTTAAGGATTCCTGAGGGATTCTCAAGGATTCCCGAATGATTCCGAAAGATTCCCTGAGGATTCCTTAAGGATTCCCTAAGGATTCTCAAGGATTCCCTGAGGATTCCTTGAGGATTCCTTCAGGATCCCCAAAGGATTCTTAAGGTTTCCCGGAGGGTTCCTTGAGGATTCCTAATGATTCTTCAGGATTCTTAAGGATTCCCTAAGGAGTCCCTGGGGCTTCTTAAGGATGCCCTGAGGATTCCTTAGGGATTCTGAAGGATGCCCTAGGGGTTCTTAAGGATTCCCGAGGGACTCATTACGGATTCTGTAGGATTCCCGGAGGATTCCCGGAGGATCCCTTAGGGATTCTTGATGATTCCTTAAGGATTCCGTAAGGATTCCGTCAGGATCCCCAAAGGCTTCCTTAAGGATTCTTAAGGATTCCCTAGGGACTCCTTAGGGAATCTCAAGGATTCCTTAGGGATTCGTAAGGCTTTCTTGAGGATTCTGAAGGATCCCCGAGGGATTCCCTAAGGTTTCTTAAGAATTCCTTAGGGAGTCTGAAGGATTCCTTCGAAATTCCTTTTGGGATTTTGAAAGATTCCTTCGGGATTCTTAAGGCTTCCTCAGGGATGCTTAAGGAGTCCCTAGGGATTCCCCAGCGAGTCTTAAGGATTCCCTAGGGGTTCTGAAGGATTATTTAGGGATTCTTGAGGATTCCCGGAGGACTTCGCATGGATTCTTAAGGATTCCTGAAGGATGCCCAAGGGATGCTTAAGGATTCCCTAAGGAGCCCCTAGGGATTCTGAAGGATTCCCTCAGGAGTCCTTAGGGATTCTGAAGGATTCCCTAAGGATTCCTCCAGGAGTCCCTCGGGATTCTGAAGGATTCCCTCAGGACCCCCTACGGATTTTAAAGGATTTTTAAGGATTCCCTAAGGATTCCCTAAGGATTCCCTAAGGATTCCCTAGGATTCCCTAGGGATTCCCTAAGGATTCCCTAAGGATGCCCTAGGATGTTGTGTTGTGTTGTTCGCCCCCCCCCCCCCCCCTTCGGACTGACCGGGGGGGCAGTGCCGGCCTTCTCCACTGTGGTGGAACCGGCGGATCCGCTCCCGCACCCCGGGGGGGCCATGCCGGCCTTAACCTTGTTGTTGTTGTTGTTGTTGTTGTTGTTGTTGTTGTTGTTGTTGTTGTTGTTATTGTTGTTGTTGTTGTTGTTGATGATGATGACGACGACGACGACGATGTGATGATGATGATGATGCTGATGATGATGATGCGGCTGATGATGATGATGATGATGATAATGATGATGATGATGATGATGATGATGAGGATGATGATGATGATGAGGATGATGATGATATGATGCTGCTGATGATGCTGATGATGCTGATGATGCTGATGATGCTGCTGATGATGATGCTGATGATGAGGATGAAGATGAGGATGAGGATGATGAGGATCATGATGAGGAGTATGATGATGATAAGGAGGGAACCACACACATCATACATACGCACATATCTGTCCTTACATATTTATTTTTCGGAGGAGAGAGAACGGGAGAGAGAGAGAGAGAGAGAGCGAGAGAGAGAGAGAGAGAGACAAAGAGGGAGAGCCAGAGAACAAAATACACATGAAAAGACACATAACGAAAGAGAACACAATAGCGAGAGACAGAGAGAGAGAGAGGGAGAGAGAACGAGAGAGCATAATGACATGCGATCTGTGTTTGGGGTCAGAGGGGTATACGAGAGGTGACCATGAGTTAGCAGAAGGGCTTGCGAGTGTCGTTGGGAAGGAGGAGCTTTTCCGCCGAGAGGCGCGCACGCATGACAAGATGTGTCAGTTGCTCAGCCTGGCCTTGGCTGCGTTGATCGCGCTGGCCTTGGCTGAGTGTCCTGGCCACCTCCCTTCGCAAGGTCGTTTAGATTCGGCTTGCCTGTTTGACGCAGGACCTTGTCACAGGGTTTGGCCAGGCTGGGGATGTTGGGGAAGAGGATGAGGTCGATGACAAGGAGGGAGGGGGAACAGAGAGAGAGAGAGAGGTCGCCTTTGTGCATGTTGTTCCTGTTGTTGCGGGTACGTGAATGTAAGACATTGTGGTGAAATCACGTTCTCCGACAGTTTGTAGTACATGCAGGCTGGCTTTCCTCTTTCGTCGCCCCTCCGATCGTCGTCTTTTGCCTGCCCGCAGTTCCTTGCGCTTTCTCGCCTGCTTCGGCAGCACATATCCTGCGGCGTTTGTGGAGGCTATGTCTGGAATGTCCGGTCTCCTCTTCCCCTTAAGTCGACAAAACAACATTGCCGCCTGAAGGCGAGTGACAGTTTTCCGCCATGCCTAGGCCTCTTTCGCTTCGTGCAAAGCCTTTGTCTTTGTCCTCTTGCATATGCATATTGGTGGGGCCAGGGCAGGATTTGGTTTCATGTTTGACCCTTGCTTCATGCAGTCGATCGTAGGAATGAGTTTCGCTTGTCACCACAGGGCTCAAAATGCACTTCGCGTCCCGGGCGGCTGACAACGAGAACATTCTCAGCGTCTGCTCCGCATAGTGGACACGAGTACGTACCTGAATTGGCGAGGATTCTTCCGTTATGTTGGTGAGTTTATGCCAGTACCAGCTTCACCAGGCTGTTTCTGTTGTCGGGGATGTTGGTGCTAAGCTGTGTGACAGGTTTGGCTGCGAATTGCAGGTCGTGAAGCCATGAGCCGCGAGAGTTGAGGCCATTAAACCTTTTGCAAGGAGTGCGGCCCATCGTCAGACTACAACATCCACCTATCCCCACTCCGCATTCCTCCCTCTGGCTCCTCTCGACTCCTCTCCCACTCGACTCTCTCCCACTCCGCATTCCTCCTTCTTTTCTCCAATCTGCACCACTTCTCCCCAGTTCTCCTCACTCCTCTCCACTCCACTTCATTACTGTCCAGTTAACTCCACTCTAGTCAACACCACTCTGCTCCACTCCTCCACGCTCCTTTCCACCGAGTTGTACTTCTCACCATCCCTCCCCACTCCATTTCTCTACACTCTTCTTCAACTCTGCACATTCGTTCCAGTACTTTACTTCTTTCCACTCTCCCCAAGAGTATTCCCAGGGGGATCAACCCGAATAAACACATCTGGAATCAGTGCTTGTACATGCCTGGCAGCCCAAACTTTCCCCAACCAGCCCCAAAGCAAGTCCAAGCAAACGCGTCAACATCCCAGGACCAACAACACATGGCACCATATTTCATCACAGATGCAGCCAATGCCCCAAAAGGCTTTTCAGCGACCTCCCCGACGGAGCCGCGAGCTAAGACTTGCGTGCCACGATGAAGATCTGGCAAACCTTGACGGCGCCACTGTGGCCAAAGACACCTCCCCCCAGAGACAGCGTCTCCTCCAACCTCTCTCATCGCTCTTCCCCTCTTCTCGCGTAGCCCTTCTGCCCGAGGTGGGCTGGAGGGGGGCACGATTCGACGGGGCGCAGCCCTCCCGAGCCAGCAGATGCCATGGGTCCGCGGCGAGTGGGCGGTCTCCGCCGAGGCGGACCAGGCCCCGTGGCACTGCAGGCCGCACCGCGAGGGTCCTCCGGGTGGTGGAGGCGGCGGTCGGCGCAGCGGCGGCAGCGGCAGCGAGGGCCTTGGCAGCGGCCACCCGGCTGGCGCCCGCGGCGGCGATCCCGTCGAGGGCGCGCCCGACGCCCCGCCCAAGTCGGGCGCCGCAGCTGGCGATCGATTGCAAAAAAAAACAACAACGATGGATTGCAACAAAAAACCAAGGATTGCAAAAAAAACCTTTTTTTGCAATCCTTCGGACGAAGGTTTTTTTTGCAATCCTTCGGACGGGACCATCTCGCCCCCGCCGGGCGTTTGGGCCCCGCAGTCCCAGCCGACCTCGACGCGGACGAGGCGCGGCCGTTCTCGTTCGGCGAGGTCGGCCCGAGGCAGAGCACGCCTCACGACGCGGTCCAGCAGCGGCTCGGCGGTGAGGGACAGGGAGCAGGTGAAGCAGGAGGCTCCGCCAGCAGACTGGCGCGGTGCGAGGCCGCCGGTGCGCCGCCCGGTCGGGAAGCAGAGCAAGAGGGACAATAAGGACAGGAAGGACAGGAATGAGAAGAAGGGCAGGAGGCGCCGCAGGAGCAGCAGCCCAATGGAGGTCCACTGATCTGCGCGATGGCGGACTGACGACGAAGACGTCAACGACCAGGAGGTCGATGGTTGGCCCCAGTGGCACGAGGACAGCGGCGACGACTGCGACGGCGTGGTCGATGCTCAAACCGTCGAGAAGAACATCAAGGTGGGTACGGCTGGGAGGCAGAGTCCCAGCTCTCCAGGAGGCGTGTGGGAGGGCATGTGCTGCGCAGGGGCAGCGCTACTCGGAGTGGAGGCTCAGGGACGACGTGGTCCTGGGGGCAGTGCCCGCCAAGAAGTCTGCGGAGAGTTTGGGGGTGGCGACGCGAGGAAGAACGGGAGTGACGACAAGGAGGGATGCAAGGATGAGCCAATCGGAGGTCAGGGGGTGCGAGTGCCGCACGCCGACGGCCTCGTAGACTTCCTGGAGCGGGTGGGCCAGGAGGAGGCGAGCCAGATCCAGAAGGACGAGCCCGCCGACGCGGAGGAGGACGACGGCGTCGGCGTTGCGACGTTTTCGCCGAATGTGGTGGTAAGCGTGGGAGCAGGAAGCCCTGAGCAGGTGGAGGAGCAGGAAGCCCTTGAGAAACTCACGCTTGCGCTGGAGGCGTTGCGCGGCAGGCGCGGGACCGCAGCTGCAGGCGACGCCCTGGACCAGCTGAAGGCGCTCCAGGAGTGCGACTCGAAGGGGGGGATTGGCTAAGGTGGGCCTCGGGTCGCCTTCAGCAGCCCTGAAGGCCTGAGGGTCTTAGGGGAGACTTTAGCTTCGGGGGTATCCTTGGAGGTTCCTGGCCCTGTTGCGGTTTTGTTTCTGGGTCCCTTCGGGGGCCGTCCGTCCGTCTCGCAGGATCGTTCGGAGGTGCTGCGGCCCTTCCTATGGCGGGGCGGGCTCGGCGGCCGCGCGCCGAGACGGTTTGCGGAGAAGACCTGGCATCGTCAGCACACTCAGCGCCCCTCTTCTCGCGTCCTTTTCCCCTCCATCCCCTCCATCCAACATATCATTTTCCCTTTTCTCTTGCGTTTTCTCTCCTCCATCTGGCCTCCTCCTCCTCTTCCTCTCCCTCCATCTCTATGTTGCCTCTGCCTCAATCTTCCACCGTGCCTCCTCCCCTCTCCTGGTCCGTCGGTAGCATCGTCCGTTCCCTCTCTCTCTCTCTTCTTTTGTGCCCCCTGCCTCATTCCTTACCCATGATGCACCCTCCATCCTTCCTCCCTTCTCTTCCGTTCCTCCCTTCATCGCGCCTCCTTCTTCCGCCCTCCCTTCTCCATATTCCTCTCCATTTTACTTTGTGCCCCTTCCACTACTCCTACCCTCCTCCATCCCTGTTCCTTGTATCAAGATCTCTTCCTTGTTGTGCCCCCAAGCGTGTCTGTGGGACGGGCCGGGCGTTTCGCTTGAGACGTCTTCGCCGTATATGATCCTGAAATTCTGTAGTTTGCAACAGAGTCGCTGATGAGGGGAGGGTCCTTTTCAAAGTTTGGTTCTCGCCGTAGCGCCGCGCACGTTCGTCTTAGAAGTTTGCAGCAGCTTCAAGGATTCGTAGTGTTTCAGTCCCAGGAATGGTGTTCTGGTGCAGTTTAGGTTGTCAGGACGCGACGGTATCGTTGATTCGCGGCGTGGAAGTTCCAGGGAAGCATTTTGGTTCGACTCGGCATTGTTAGGACGTAGCAATCACGTCGACTCGTTGCGCCCAACTTCTTGGAACGCTGTTCTGGTACGATTGACAGTTCGCAAGCGGTTGTTTTTCAATGGGCGCTTCCCGCAATGAAATTACATTATTGCAATAAGCCATTCGCACGGAACTTGGAGGTATGGTTTCTTGCAATATCGTTGGCGGCCTTCTCCCCCTCATCCCCCATCTCTCTCTCTCTGGCGTCTGCCGCCTCCCTCAAAAGGTCTTTCTTCCCAACCCCGCCGTCCGAGCTCTTCGGTTACGCTTGTTCCCCCCTCGGTCCAACCTGCTCCGCCCCCCCCCCCCCGGGGTCCTCTTGGTCGTGCCTTTGCCGCCGCGCCCTTCCTTCCGAGGTCGAGCCATGGATCCGCGGTCTGCCCTGCTCGTCCTCCCACCTCCCTCGCTCCCGCCTCCTCGCCCCTGCCTCTTCCTCCTCCCCCCTGCCCTTCCTCCCGCGCCTCTCCTCCGCCGGCCCCGTGCCCCCTGGCCCGTGCCCTCGTGCGCCTCCCCTCTCGCCCTGGTGCGTCCATCGGGCCGGGCGAGATGGGGACGAGCACGCTCGGGGGCCTTGAGACGAGGGTCAGTGCAAACGGGGGTCAGCCAGGGCACCGGATCCTACAGGATCTTGTGAAGACCCCTCTGGCTGACCCGGGTTAGCGAGCGGCTCGTGGCCGCG